ACATACTCAGTGATACGAGGCCCTCGTGCTGACATGATACCCTCGTACAATGACATCTCATGCAGAAACGACCTCCACGCGCGTCTTTTATAAATTTTACCACTCGACCCTTTTTTACGCATGCTACAACAAACCTCGCCCATGCTAAGAGTCACCTCAACACCAGGGAGGGAAAAGCCCGATGTGCAAATCATGTCTTGTCTCGTGGCTATTACACATATATAAAGCATGTGTGCATGTAATGCAATCCCCTGCCTGCCAACGCCATGGGTCCCGTATAAAGAATATGAAGAGGGACAGAAAAAGAATCCAACATAATCAGTCCTCGTCGCATAATCCTGTACTTCTCCCCTCTCCACTGCTCTTTTTCTAGGAAAGGATGCCCCGTCCCAGCATCTTCCGTATGAATATATTATCTTTTTTCCCTTTTTTTTTTCGTTTTTGTTTTTCCATACTCAAAATATGTCCAAATTTTGTCACCCCATCCCTTTTTTCTTTTTCTTTTTCTTTTTCTTTTTCCCTCAGCGCGCTTAAACGCACATGCAGACACAAACGTCCGTCATTCCTTTACCCCTCAAACTCAACTACACCTGTTCCCGGCGGTGCCACCGTCTCCGCACGTGGACGTCCTTCTCTAGAATTGACATCGATGAGATCATGATCATGGTCTTTGGAGGTGCCTGCTCCGGCGTCCAATCCGTCCAACAAGTCGCGATCGGAGCTCTTGACGGATCGGTTGTCCCCACGTGCATCTTCAGGGCCATTTCTAGCACCGACGGCTATGCCGATATCGTCATCGTCCTCCTCTTCTTCATCGGCTCGTTGGCCAGGCACGGCGTTCTTCTCCAGCTCCTTCTGGGCCTCTTCCATGCGGCGTCGTACTTCAGTCGCAACACGCATACCGTCCGTCACGATATTGTCCAGTACACCACGCAGGCCTCTTCCTGCACCATGGGGACCGGGTTGAATGGGGAGCGGCGGCCGGGAGCTGAAGCCGAGGCTGGCAAATGTCGTCAGTGACGCGCTCTGCGGTGTCAGGCCGCTGCCATGTAGGCCTTCTATCAGGTGGAATGAGCTGGGAAATGACGATTCAAAAAACTGCTCCAAAAGTACGTCCGCCAGTACCACCATCCTGAACGTCGGCAACGTGATGTGCATCGGCTGAGCCGGGTTGAGCGCCACGTTGGCGGCTACGGATTTTGCCTCGGATGCCCGACGTCGCGTATCTATCTTGAGACCATCGGTCTGGGACTGAAGATCCGTCAGAGTTTCCGCCTGCAAGTACGTCTTCTGCGAGTCCGTCTGCGAGTCCGTGGGGGTATTTGTTAAAACATCTGTCGCCGCAGTCTTTGACTTGAAAGCCTTGGATGGAGAACTCGGAGGCGACTCAAAACCCAAGAGATCCTCCTCGCCATCCTCGTCATCCTTGTCAATGGCAAATGCTTTTGAGCTCATGTTCGGCTCTGCGACTATTGGTGAGTCTTTGAATTTTTGATTCTGCGGACGATCCGGGTCGGCGTATTCAAAACATCGACGGATAAAACCGCTGACACTACCCAGGAATCTCTCATTGACTGGCACGCTCGGCGGCAAGCTTGGCTGGGAATCCTGAGCATTCCCCACGTCGCTTTGCAGAGCCGCAATCGATGCATCCGGGCTGAGACTTCCCTCGAGACCACGACGTGACAGGAAGAGCAGCGCCTCCGAGATACGCAGAATGCCTTCTCGGTCTACCTTTCCGTCACCGTCGTCGTCGTAAAGCTCGAAAAAGTACGAAATCGTACCCATGACATCGCCTTTGCCCTTGATGCCTGCCAGCCCGGTGACAACCTCCTGCAAACTCAGGGCCTCGTTTCCATCCACATCCCATTTCGCGTACAATCGCTGGAGGAATTCATGCTCTGCAGGCTCTGGGCCGGACCCCCATGATGATATACTACCGCCAGGAGTCCGTCTTGCGCTATGAAATTTCGAGAACCTGTCCTCCCCGGGCCCGGTATGGCTTCGTGAGTTTCCTGGCGAGTCGGCGATGGCCCATTTGCACATGCTGGCCAGAAATTCCCGGAACGCGTCGTAATCCATCCGGGTCGTACTCGGCCCCAGTCCAACACGACCCTTTTCTACAAGGTTGGGCGCCGTGGTGAATATTTCCGACGCTCGCTGCCTGCTGATTTTGGCTCGTCTCTTGGCTTCTTCCTGGTTCATCAGGTCGCGCTGCTGCCTTTCGTACAGAATGCTGTAGAACCTGTCATAGAGTGCGCCTAGCTCATCGTTTCCAAGGATCTTGCTGTCGGGTCCAAGATTTCGAATGGCCGTCCTCTTGGCAAAATTTTCAATATTGTTCAGCACAGCATCCTTCTTCTTTAACCGCAGTTCGGTGATGCTGCTGTGCGTGATGCTCGAGAACTCCTTGAAAGCCACCACCATGAGTTCTTGGAATCTGGTCACGGCTCGGAGCTTGGGGTTTTCTGACTTGGGATGGGCCGACTCGTCCAGTCTCGCAAAGTACGACTTGAGGACGGAAATAAAGGCTCCATCATCCGCGGCATCCAACAGATCTTCGCCATTGATGCGAAGGATGGCCAGGCCGACTTGAAACAGCACCTTGGGGCCTTCGACAAAGAAGACGTCCAGCACTCGAAAAGCAAAAATTAACGGCATAGAGTTGATGTACAGGGACAGAAACCAAGGCAGTGAGACGACTGACAGTTGTATATCGTTCTTGACCAAATGCTCCCACAGAACAGGCATGGTTCGTTCTACCAACGATTCAAACACCTTTTGATCCAGCAAGGTTCCGTACATGGTGGTCGAGTAGTAGCCAGGTACTAGCCGATCGCACAGAGAGGACAGCAGAAAAAAAGCTTGGGCCTCAGACATGTAGATGAGGAGAGCCGCCACGACAATATTCATGGCTTGACAATATCCGACATCGGGATTGAGCCAGCTGTATGCTGTCAAAACCCGGCGAAGTCTGCTAATGCCTTCCTCGCTCTGGAAACCGGGATATTCAGGCAAGCTTCGGTTTAAATCTTTCTCGATTTCGTCAATGGCGAGTGACTCCTGCCCTTCAAACTTGGCCAAAGTATCGGCGAAAAGGCTTGGCTTCTCCAACCGCAAGTATAGGGAGCCCGAGGTCAGCTCCCAGATTTCTCCCCGCAATCGGTTGGGCAATCCGACCCGGATCAGTTTATGGAACGTTGGCTGGCGAATCAGGGTCAAGCTCCTTCCATTATCTCGAAGATATTCGGCCCAAAGCCGCACTTTTGCTCTGTCTCGTAGTTTTTTCGGGTCGCCGGGATACCTGAAAATCATCCCCAAGCCAGCGTCTGGGGGGTTGGCATTCTTTCTGTCTTCGGACCGAAGCAGATGCTCAGAATAGCATTCTGCAACCACCTTTCGCAATTTACCGACATTTCCCACGCCAGATCTTAACCCTCTCTTCAAGCCATCACAGAATCGTTCGCATTCGGGACGGGAGCCGGCCAGGTGAATCGTGAATCGCTGTTCCCGGTTTTCTTTTGCATCTTTGGTTCCGTCCTTTTCCTTTATATTTTCGGCCAATAATCCATTCCAGGTCGTGATGGCGAGAGCAAACTAGCATGATGAACAAGAAGAAAAAGCAAAAAAAAAAAAAAAAAAAAAAAAAAAAAAAAAAAAAATAAGAAGAAGAGAGGTCAGGAACAGCTCTAATGTGACAGCGCTTGACAAGTTGGGGAAGCCTATTTTCGCCCCTCCGGTGTAAATGGATTGGCATGAAAATTTACCTGAAAGTTTTGACTGTGTAACCTCTCGACCCTTCTAACGGCACACAATGGAAAGGTGAAGCCATTCCCACACGGACCAGCACCATGGGTCTGTCCTGTAAAGGCCAGCGACGTCGAGGTGCTAGCATTTTGAGCAAAGCTCGATGGAGTAGTCGAAAAGCACAGGTAGGCCTCGGATAAGTGCAGTTTGCCGACGTAGTGCCATCCTCGATCATGGTCCTTATCGCCCTGCGTTGCGTTGGAAGGGGGAATGGTGAGCTCGGCACTGATTTCACAAAGGGGGTTCTGGGAGGAAGGCAGGCGGAACTGATTTTGGAAGAGCGACGCTTTGGAGGGGTTCTTATCGGAGCTCGACAGGTTGAGTCCTTGTGTCGGATCAATCAGCTGCTGGGCCTTTTGCACGATGTTGGTAAAGTTGGAGAACATGGTCGCAAACATCAGCGCCGCATGGCGGTGTCAATGAAGACGAGCAATGGGTATGACGAGCACGGGACAGCGAATGCGCCGAGAATTTGTGGTGGAAGGAAGAGCCTATGTGGCGGATCAAAAGGCAGATGCAGCGTCTGTTCGGCGGGTACGAAGCGAGAAGACCGGACAAGAGGATTGTTGAGTTGTTGGTTGTTGTCCACGAGCGACATGTAAGATAGGACTGCATGCAGGGACAGGAATGTATGAGCTGGTGGCGATGGCATGAGGATGGGACGTTGGACGGAGGTGACGGCGAAGGCGGCGTGGATTGAGGTTGAGTGCTCACTGCTCAGTGGACCAGAACGTCAGCCAGCTGAGCTTGAGTGCATGTGGGCTTTGGCTGTGGCTCTGCGGCCTGCCAGAGCCAACAGCACCTGCAACAGCAACAGCACCTGCAACAGCCCCGGCAAGAGCACTGAGGCGCTCAAGCTGGTTGGGTGCTTGGCTCAACCGTGGAGCTGATTGGCCCGGATGCAGGCTGCACGGGGCGCGAGTCGCTGCGTGCCAGGGTCATGGATCAACCCGAGATGACTAGATATTTCCATAAACTAACCCGTACACTTTTTTTGCGGCCTGCGCATTCTTTGAGGCCGGGTTGATTATCATTTTCATGGGCAAGAACCCAAGAAAAAGGGAAGGAAAGGAAAGGAAAAAAAGAAAGAGGACAAACAGCCAGAAGGAAGAGTTCACCACTCGCTCCACTGCTGTAAGGCGGGCAAAAAGAGCAAAAGATAATGTTAATCCAACATTGGATTCCAAAGAGACCTCCGATGCGGGGAATCGAACCCCGATCCCTGCGGCACTTTGCTGGATGTTAGACCATGAAAGCGCAGTATGATAGCCACTACACCACATCGGATGTTGGATGATCTGGAACGAGTTTATTTATCATATAATGGATGCTGAGCGTGCCTCGACCTCGAGAAGCGAAAACTACGACGTCTTGTGAGACGAGTCCATTTCAGCCTCTGAACTACAAATTCCTGTGCAGACTTGTGCAGACGGGTGACACCCGGCGCAAACCCAGCCTCATGATACGCCCATTACGCCAACGCCGGACTGGCTGACGCCTGCCCATCCTTCCTTCCTGCCCCTCTCTACCCTACCTTCCTTCCTCATCCTTGCCCTTTCCTTCTATCCTCCGTTGTCTCCCCCCCGCCTTCCGGTCCAACCCCTCGCCTCCCCGTGCTTGCCTGCCTTGTCTAGTTGATGACGTGTTGCGTCATCGGGCCTGCAGCTTAGGGCCCGACGATTTAGGGCCTGACGGTTTAAGGGCTGGCGGTTATTAGCCTCGCGAGATGAAATGCCACATGCCCGTCCACGCCACGATGCGACGCCACGATGACACGCCACGATGCGCTGTCGTCGCCTCTCATCCATGATTCCATGTGCTCAAGCACAATCTGTCTGGTCAGTGGTGGGTGACGTTCTGTGCGAATTCTGTTGCGTTTAAGACGAGCGAGGGCACGTCGTTTATATTTTACGTTTGAGTTTACCTTGACGTGCATGAGATATAGCATCCTAGCCCCTACTTGCGACATACATAATATATGCATGTACCGTGTGCATGGTATATGCATGTTGATCTCCTCCCTCCTAGATCTGTCACCGCATTGGCACGTCCGACGTCACGCATCGTCGTCCGCGTCTTGGGCCGCCCAGGATAGTCCAGACTCGAGGCCCGCTCGCCCTGCCCGCCTCCATCCATTTCCGTCTGACGGTCGATCTCGTCTCCTTTGAATCGCGGCTGCTTGACCGGAGGCCACCACTCCCTCCCCCTCTTCGTCATCTTTTTGTTTTTTCTTTCTTTCTTTCTTTCTTTCTTTCTTTTTTGGCACAAATAGCTTTTCGTCAGTTTTGTTGCTCCAACCAAAACCCGCTGCTGCCAGACTTGCTTCATTGCCCTCGCCCGTCATCTTCTTTCTTGCGTCATCCCCGTGTTCCCCTTTCACAACCGATTTTGCCACTTACGCGGGAAACCTTACATCGGCGCATTACTCGATAGCTCAGCCCAGCGCAAGCCACGGACCGAGCTTGGAACCTTGTCGTCCCTCGTCATCTCGGGAACGGCGTCACGATCTAATTGGTTTACCTGCGACACGACTTGGAGTCCAGGACTGTGCCAGCTTCCATGGACTATTTTTTTCCCCGACTTCACTCATAAATAACTCATTTGAAGGAAGTAGGCGGGTAGGTAAACGACTGTATCCTGGGGAACCATTCTGTAATACCAAGCACGCAGACTGGAGTCGAAGCAAAAGCGCCATCCGCCTCTCTCGTCTGCCCAACTTCCAACAAGTTGTTTGCAAACTTCAGAGTCGAGGAAAGGCAGCGCATGCCGAGCAAGACTGACAAAACTGTGAGCAGTGAGCAGTGAGCAGTGAGCAGTGAGCAGTGAGCAGTGAGCAGTGAGCAGTGAGCTTGAGCAGGGATCAACCAGCATTGAGCATACATCAGCACACCAGAAAGCAGCACAACGGCCGCCATCGCAATTGCAAACGTACATCTGATTTCGCACCTGGGTTGAATATATCACTGCTTCAGAAGTGGCCATGAGCCGAACGTGAAACAGATTGCGATTGCACAAAACTCAGGGTGGCTTCAATCAGAAAGGCGGCTTCTGTGTTAAGCCTCGACACCTGGTCTTACACCGAGTCCGACCTAAAACGGTCGTAGCACATTTGCGACAACGAGAGGGACGGACCCTTCTTGCTACCTGCGCAGATGCGACTCAGGTATTACCCTGCATATTACCAAAGAGCTTTCTTGATAAATCTATATGTCGCTCACATCCAGCGACTAATCTGCCAGGCGATCTCACTGAACGCGACGAAACCATCTTATTCGAACCCGACTTCGCGTCCGACTTGGTTTCCGACTTCGTGTCCGACCTCATTTTGGACGAAATGGCCGCCACAGTAGCACACTCGCAGGCGCCCACCGCTTTGTCTTCATCGAGGAGTCTCGCTTCGCAGGCGGTATCTGGATCTCACCCAGCGCGCGAACACCGTCACCATCAACATGGACACTATCAACCGCGAGATGCCTCCACCATCCCAACAAACTCAACAAACAGCCGACGGGTCGAGTCGTTGCCGCGGGCACAGAAATTCAACCCTAGTAATTTCAAAGTGCTTCGCACTCTGGGAACAGGTTGGTGATTATTCAAAGTCGGGTGTGAGAGGGAGGGTAAGAGGAAAATGTTAGGGGTCAGGGGTTGTTGGAGAGGTGGCGGAGAGCCGTCGACGTTTATCAAAAGGCGCAGGCACAGGCACAGGCGACAACAATGCCAAAACAGGTCTTTTCTCCATTACCAATGAAACGCTGACCAGATCTGTGCAGGTACGTTTGCACGGGTCTGCCTTGTTCGCCCGTCAAATGCTCCCGACGTTCCTCTAGAGCAGGACACCACGGGCAATGTCGAGGTATATGCTCTCAAGATCCTGCGCAAGACCGAAGTCATCAAATTGAAACAAGTCGACCATGTCCGTCACGAGAGATCTGTCCTGGCCGACGTAGCAGGCCATCCATTCATCACCAACCTCCTTGCCTCGTTCTCTGACCACGATTCTCTTTACATGCTGCTCGACTACGTTCCTGGCGGCGAACTCTTTAGCTACCTCCGAAAGCTCGGCCGATTTGACGAATCGACTGCCCGCTTCTACGCTGCCGAGATTGTGCTCGTCTTGGAATACCTCCACGAGCAGCAAGGGGGCGTGGCGTACCGGGACCTCAAGCCGGAAAACCTCTTGTTAGACAAGGACGGCCACATCAAGCTTGTGGACTTTGGGTTCGCAAAGCGCCTCGGCCACAAGGGCGACCATCCCGTCGAGACGTATACCCTCTGCGGCACGCCAGAGTATCTCGCCCCAGAGGTCATTCAAAACAAGGGACACACCACGGCAGTGGACTGGTGGGCATTGGGAATCCTGATTTATGAATTCCTCACGGGGTATCCACCCTTTTGGCATCAAAATCCCATTGAGATTTACAAGCAGTAAGTACATGGCGTTTCTTCTGCGGGACCCGAGTTGGGGGTTGGCTAGGGAGGAGCGAGAACAACAAAACACCAACTTCTTGTTGCTAGGATCGTAGACAAACCCGTGGCATTTCCCCAAGACCCGCCCACATCAGAACAAGCCAAAGACATCATCCGCTGCTTCTGCACCGTCGACCGATCCCGCCGCCTCGGCAACGTCAGCGGCGGCGCCAGCCGCGTCAAAGCCCACCCTTTTTTCCAACCCATCAACTGGGACGACATGCTCAACCGCCGACAAAAAGGCCCCATTATTCCGCCGATACGGTATCCAGGCGACGCGCAGTGCTTCGACACGTACCCCGAAGATGACGGCAAGCGGGACGCCTACACCGACGAGATGGTGCAAAAGTACGAGCAGTACTTTGCCGATTTCTGATGACGAGCGAACTTTTTTTCTGTTTTTCTGTTTTTTTCTGTTTTTCTGTTTTTTTTTTTTTTTTTTTTTTTTTTTTTTTTTTTTTTTTTTTTTTTTTTTTTTTTTTTTTTTTTTTTTTTTTTTTTTTTT